CTTGTCAAAATAAGAAAATTTATTTCTAATGTTATTTACAACTTTAAGAAACGTTCCACCAAACCAAGGCGGTAAATACGGCGGATTTGGATACCAGGCCAATCCTATTCCTAAAAGTTCATCTCAAGAATTTGTTGATACTGCTTTGTCATCTCTTGCTAGTGTAAAAATTAACTATTATGACTAAAAATAATTTATTCAACACGCATTGACAGAAGTAACTATTTCAGGGTTGGTCGTTATTTTCTTCTTCAGCAACTAAAATAGCTAGTAAAGCAACAGAAAATGCTATTAAGTATGGAGGAATGGCTACACAAAAGGTATCTGAAATATCAGTTTCTGTAGGTGAAAAGGTTTGTTTAGTTGCTTTTTTTCAAAATAATTTTGTTTTATTATTTTATTTGGTTTATTATGATTTTATTTGGTTTTTTATGATTTTGTTTGGTTTATGTAATATTAAAGGTACGTGAAGGTACTCTTTTGGAAGAAGTAGGAAGCCAAGTTAATAATTTAGCCGCCAAGGTAGACTTTGTTTCATAGACAATTTAATTCTAGTTTCTCTTAATTTGCTTTATAATTGCATAAATAACATTTTTTTCAAAAATTAAAGTTTATTTTTAATGATCAGGTTAGTGATCTTGGCAGAAGAGGTTGGGGAGACGTTTCTGGGAATAATTCTGGTGATGGTTACAACTCACATGGAAACTATCAAGACTCACCCAGTTCTTACCAGAATAATAGTGATCTGAGAAGATATTCTGAAGAAAGATCTAGAATGAGAAGCCCAAATCAAAAGTAAATTGTTTGTTTTACGCATTAAGATAAAAAACGCTTATTCTATATTTAAAACTAAATTTATAAATAGATCATCTGACGCGTCTGATGCTGATTGGGGATGGGATTCAAGTTCAAAGCCGAAAGATGCAAGTGTAGATAGTAAGTCTGTAAAGAAAATAAAAGAAAAGAAAAAAGAAGACTCTCTGATAAATTTTGAAACGGATCAAGCCAATTCAAATTGGAATGCTAAACTTGAAGATGAAGCCTGGGAGGTATTAAAAAATTAATCTCGATTAATAGTGTTGAAAATTCAATGAGACCTTGACCATATGATTTACATTAATGCGAAAGCTAGTTAAAATTGTACAATTTATAAAAATAATCAATTTACAAATGGCCATAATGCCTTATTGAAACAATTCTAATTAATTTTTAAGTTGTTCAATTATTGTTATTATAATTAGTAGTAATACTTCAGAGATAATATTGTTGCATTGATGATTAAGGTATTTAGGTAACAAAAGATAATTTTAAATATTTATACATTCTTCCTACATATTTAATTTAAAATGCACAACCTTGTAATTGTAAATAAGCTATACAAGAAAATTTATTGAAAAACCTAATAAATTTTTGTGTCAAAGCAGGATTATTTTTTGATTCTCACAACTTTATGTAGAAAACGAGCTGTGTCACCGTTCGTGGTTTGATTAATAGTAACAAGGTCATAGTATTTTTTATACTCCAAACCGTCTTTTCTATTAAAGTGAAACTGGTTTGTTAAAAATCATTATTTGATATCAGTATAAATTTGTTTTATGATTGTAGATATTATGAAAATATTTATCATATTCCATATATTTAATAGAAAATCTGTAAATTAATTTGACTTGCTGTGACAAGTGCATGTGTAAAATACAAGTATAAGAAGACTCATTTGTATTAAACTTAGTGCTCTTTATTTTTATTACCTTACAATTAATATGAAAAAAATATCTTTGAGGTCACGGGTCTTTATCTTTACTTTGTATAAAAATAAGTTATTTCAACGATTTTGTAAATCTTCTTGGACTTGAAATGTGCATTACGATTTGTTTTGTTTTTTGACATACGTTTTTTCTGCTCCTACAGAAGTATTCAATTTATTTACCAAATACTCAGTAATGCTGACCTCATAAGCAGGCCATACTTCTTCATCTACAGTAATTATCAAGTCTTTAATCATTTCTGCTGTTTTTGTGGGTAAATTAGTCATTACCTGTCTTTTTGACGCTTCATATAAAAATTTATAAGCTGACCTGTAAGTGTATAAATAAATCAATCAATCAGTTATCAGTGATATAGTGAAATGAAGCTATTAGACGCTTTCTTACTTTAGATCGAAACCTGCACATTCTTCTGGTGGTGGCTGGTCTTCAAACAAATATATAAACAACAATGATTGAGTCAAAAGATGATTTCCTTCATCAAAAAATCCGCTTCTCAACCATACATCTAATGGCGAATTTACTTTTTTTTTACCCAAATCGGCAATCGATCGGTACTTTCTAATCATCTGTGCAATTTCATTTTCTGATCTGTCAGGTAAAACAGTCTTTAAATTACTAATATTTTGTGCTCCAAACTTCTTAAGGGCTGACAGTAAATTGCGTTTTTCCGTCTCCGTCCAACGTTTTTTTTTCCTAATACCCGATTTCAGATAACCACTATCTACACTCTTGTCTGACCTGGAAAAAAATATTGTTTTCATTTTAGCAAATGAGCGCATTACATTTCAGCCAGACTTTATAGAACGTAAGTAGGTATATACTAACATTTTCAAATCAAAGATTTTGTTTCAAACTTTAAGTATGGACAATTTCTTTGCACGCCTCGGTTTCACGTAAACACACGCAAGTGACGTGAGTTTTTTATCGTCGTCTGGCGTATAGTCTGCAGACAGTGTCCTGCATGGACACTGCAGCGACAACCCAGAGATAAGTAGACAAAGATCACATACAGCAAATATACACCGTTACGTGTGGCAAATGTCAACCCAGTGCATGACCAGTGATCAGTCAATCCAGACTCCCTCTCTCAGAGTCCAAAGTCTAGGAATCCAGCGAACCTGTTACAGCAGCTACTGGAGGAGAGAGCAATGCTTTTTTACTGGTAGCTATCTCTCTCTAGCTGGAACGCGATTGGTTGGCGCGTAGTAGCTGCCATGCTACCTCCAGTAAAAATATGCCCAAATAGTCCACCACTGACATTCACTTGCAAACGTAACTTAAGTTTTAGGTCGCTTCGCATGTTCGCATATGGCCTTAAAAAAGTATCTTATTTGCTCATCAATGGATGATGATGTGTTATAAGGTATATCATGCGTAAAAAAACAAGATGACTGTTTTAATGTAGACTGCATGGGTGAACTCGTAATTCCACACTGTACTTAGTGCCAGGCAGTGCTTAGTTTCGTGGTTATGGACGAGGAAGACGTACGACCATCGACTGAACTAACTCCTTTTCGCGGGGATAGTGTACACTGTACACTGACCGTCTGTGAAGTGTTACTTTGATCTGTAAAAAACTGCATGTCTGACATTGTCTGAACTCTCCAAACTGAAACAACTATACATGTATATTCAATGGTTTGATTAGTGGGAGGCTCAAATAGTTTATCACCAAGTTTTGTGTGGTGAGGACTTATCCGAAGAAAAATGGTACGACAATCAGCTAGCGAGCATGCGATAAAACATACATACACCTACAGCCACAGATTAATAGTACTAATGTTATCCATACTGCATTAAGTATCAATTATCATGCAGACAGCTGTGAAATGTCAAGCTTGAAAGAAAACATATACATATATACATACGCTAGCATGACTTTGGTATTGTTTCATATTATTTTCGAAAGAATTCTACTTGTAGCATAATGTCATTGAGTTTTTGTGTTATTTTTTGACATAATTTTTATCCGCACTTTTATCGATTTGTGTGAGTACAGCTCGTTGTCGTGATTCATTTATTGAAAGATAGAGATATTCTTGCATACATGTATATGTGTGGTTGCAGTCGTTCTAGCTTTCTTTGGAACTTGTTTTCAATCACGTGCTCCTAGACGTAAATTTGTTATTGTCACTGTTTTTGGGATTACTAAAAATTATCATTGAAATGTCTGGTGCCTTCTACTAATCACGTCAATTTTTGTTGTTGCCACTCATGTCTTTATTTCGTACTTATCAACATGTATATAGTCAATTACAGAAGTTCATTTAATAATTGGGTGTCGTTTTGCATCTGGTTAAGTTGAAAGTACATTTTTGTTAATCTGTCATAACATCAATTAAGTCACATTGTATGGCATTACAAAGTTATAAGGTAAGCTTAAAAAATAGTTTATTTCTATAAATTAAAATTCATATGCATCCACATTATTGTGTTACTTTCATGTAATTTATGTTTTGTTTCCATAGTTTTAAAAACAAGTTTTTGTATTATTTTGCTCTGAAAATCTTCCTAAATCTTGTGCTTAAACTCTAGATCATGATCCATACCCAATGTGAGATGATTGATAGTTAAGTAAGTATTTGTTTTTATGCTAATTAGATCAACAAGATGCCATGGAGAAATTTCCTCTAAAAGGAACCACTTCACTAACTTCATTCAACAAAGCAAATGCCAGTTCGCTTACAACCTATAATTCGGTTGATGCCAAGGTAGGCATCTTACAGCCTTTCCTTCTCCTTTTACAGAAAAAATCTTAGATTTGAAAATATGTCAATTTGTTTCATGATTTAATTTATTGTATCAAATATTATTTTCAAGTATATTTTATACTGAGATTTTTTCATAACTGCTTTTTTACACGTTTAGCTGCACTAAATTTTTAATGGAACATTTTACTTTTTGTCACCATCATATGTTTCTTATCATTGTAAAGTATAGTTGGCTAAAGTGATGAAAAGTTCAGGCAAGTTTAATTTTTGAAGAAACAAAATTTACTCTGAGGTTTATTAACATAATTTAAAAATGTTGCATTTCATGCTTATTAACATTCTAGAAAGTGTTTTGTATTAATGTTAATTAATCAGTTTATTCTATTTTCAGAAATCCAATGGTATAGAAAGTAGTTGTGTAGATAATCCCAATTATAGAAGTGGAGTTTCTAGTAGAACTATAAGTATAAGCAGTGATGAAGAGATGATTGATGTAAAACAGCAGACTGTTTCTCATCAGAGTCAAAATGAAAACAATCCTTATTTCGACAGGGATATTCGAATGGATGATGCATCATCACATTGTATGTGTTTTGAAACACGTCTAGTATTACTTTTTTTTTTTTTTAACATAATCTTTCACAGTTTCAGGTGATGCTGATGATATCCCAGGAATCGGCCAGTATGATGACTTTCACACAATTGACTGGCAAAGAGACATTGCAAGGGATCGCATGCATCACAGATACATACTCAAAAAGAAACATGACTCTATATGGGATTTGATCAAAGGTGCCCATGATGCGTGGTCAGGCTGGCTTTGTGTATTACTCGTTGGCCTCTTGACCGGCGTGACTGCTGGTGTCATTGATATTGGAGCATCATGGATGACGGATCTTAAATTTGGCATTTGTCCTCAAGCATTTTGGTTGAACAAAGAACAGTGTTGTTGGAGTTACAGCGAAACGTCGTTTACTGGTGACAACTGTTCTCAGGTATAATTTATTTACAAGAAATTTTAATGCAATAACTCAAGTATTGTACTAACTTATGAAAAAATGTATATTTTTAGTGGAGAACGTGGTCGGAATTTTTCACCCAAGCAGATTCAGGCGTTGGCGTCTACATTTTGTCGTATTTGTTTTACATTGCATGGGCACTTTTGTTTGCATCACTATCTGCATCCTTAGTTCGAATGTTTGCTCCTTATGCTTGTGGATCTGGTATACCTGAGGTAAAATTGGTAAAATAATAACTTTTCGTAAAGTACGTTCAAAGAATTTCAAACAATTTTTTTATGTTTAGATCAAAACGATCCTAAGTGGGTTCATTATCCGCGGATACTTGGGTAAATGGACGTTAATTATAAAATGCGTGGGATTGATTCTCTCTGTATCAGCGGGTCTGAATCTCGGAAAGGAGGGACCAATGGTCCACATTGCCTGCTGTATTGGCAATATTCTTTCCTATTTGTTTCCAAAGTATGGAAAAAACGAAGCCAAGAAAAGAGAAATTTTATCTGCAGCAGCTGCCGCTGGAGTATCCGTCGCTTTCGGTGCACCAATAGGAGGTGTACTTTTTAGTTTAGAAGAGGTAATATAAATCAAAAAATGAATTTGCTTTTTACTCCTCAACCAAAAAATTATCAAAAATTAATTTATTACAGGTCAGTTACTATTTTCCGCTCAAAACCTTATGGCGGTCCTTTTTTTGCGCTCTGGTGGCTGCTTTCGTGTTGCGCTCCATAAATCCGTTTGGTAATAAACAGTCGGTACTCTTTTATGTCGAATACAACAAGCCATGGATATTCTTTGAACTCATCCCCTTTATCATACTTGGGATAATTGGAGTTAGTATACTATCACTCTCGATCACAATAATGCCAAGTACTCGCGTTAAATGTTATATTTTATTTCAACAGGGTGTTATCGGAACATTATTCATCAGAGCCAATCTGCGCTGGTGTCGATACCGCAAATCATCTAAGCTTGGGCAATACCCTGTAACCGAAGTATTAGTCGTTACGGCGCTTACATCAGTCATTGCATATCCTAATCCGTACACGCGAATGAGCACCAGCCAGCTGATTTATTTGTTGTTTAGAAAATGTGGCGTATCCAATAACAATATGCTATGGTGAGTACACATCCTGAAATTTTTCATGATTGCAATTATTTTTACGTACCAACAGTCGGAAAGTAAAAATACTTCCAGAAATGTTTACTTTCCGTTAAAACTATGTGGCACGTAAAATTGTACACTTCATACGAGATGAAATAATGTTCCAATCGAATTTTTACCAATACAGACGCGATTTGGAACATTATTAAAAATTTTCCGTCACAAGTTTGTACTATTTGATTAAATGAGCTTGTGTTTATCCAAAAAAACAGCGATTATCAACAAAACTTTGCCGATGTCAACTCGGTTTACCTGCTGGTACTGGCCTTTATTTTTAAATTAGTCATGACCGTTTTTACCTTCGGCATGAAGGTACCCTGCGGTCTTTTCATACCGTCCCTGTGTCTCGGAGCGATAGTTGGCCGTATAGTGGGCATAGCCATGGAACAGCTCGCTTATCATTATCCTACCATATGGATGTTTAGCGAGGAATGCTCGACGGGCGAAGGTTGCATAACTCCTGGATTGTACGCAATAGTTGGAGCGGCAGCGGTTTTAGGCGGAGTTACTCGAATGACGGTCTCGTTGGTAGTTATCATGTTCGAATTGACTGGCGGAGTAAGATACATTGTTCCCCTTATGGCAGCTGCAATGGCCAGCAAATGGGTCGGCGATGCTCTTGGAAAACAAGGAATTTACGATGCCCACATTGGATTGAATGGGTATCCGTTCCTTGATAGCAAAGACGAGTTTCAGCACACGACCCTTGCAGCCGATGTTATGCAGCCCAAGTGAGTAAACAGTTGAAAGATCACGATAAAGTGTTGAACATTTTATGCATGGTTTTTATTTTTTAATTTTTTTTTCACAGGCGCAACGAAACTCTTCACGTACTTACACAAGATTCGATGACAGTGGAGGATGTTGAAAATTTATTGAAAGAAACGGAGCACAATGGCTTCCCGGTGATCGTTTCAAAAGAGTCTCAGTACCTTGTAGGCTTTGTTTTACGAAGAGATCTGAATTTAGCTCTGGCCAATGCCAAGCGCATGTTGGAAGGTATCAACAGGCAATCCATTGTAGTTTTCACGAACGGAACGAACCTTCAGACACACGCATACCCGGCGCTCAAGCTGAAGAAAATTTTAGATATGGCTCCGATCACGATCACAGATCAGACGCCTATGGAAACTGTTGTTGATATGTTTAGGAAATTGGGCTTGCGACAAGTTCTCGTCACACACAACGGGTATGTGGTCTTTCGAATATACGAGTTGACTGACTTGAAAGTTATTTGTTTAAATTGTATCTTTAAATTTCCAGACGGTTGTTGGGAGTCATTACCAAGAAAGACGTACTGAGGCATGTGAAACAGCTTGACGACGAGGACCCCAATTCTGTCTTATTCAATTGAATATGGTTTTATATAAATTATTTTATCTTAAAAAAAAAAACACAAAAAAAAAAACAAAAAAAAACAAATGTCAAGTAACTCAAGTGAGCGAAAATAGTCTGATGAAGTGCACTGGAAGGTAGAATGAATTTTTTCTCAATGCCGGTAAAGATTGAAAGTATAGAAAGAACAAATTGAAACACAGCATTAGCGCACTCTTGGATTAGGAACCAGTAAGTGAGCTACGTGTATAATCTATTTTAAACAATTTCCTTCTCCAGTCTTATCATTTTATCGTACTGCGCATAGTCAGTTATTGAAATTCAATGTAATGCATCAAATGTATATGAATGGGTATATTTAATGCATGGAAATCGACGTTCTCGAATATTGTTACTTGTATAAAATGGTTATGAATAAATCGCAAAGTCTTCGAATTGTGGTAGAGTATTAATATTTAGATGATGTGATTATTTGATTTTTATGATCGGTTGGGACGATTTGCGAGAACGTTGACGAACGAAAGAACGAAATGGGAAAAGATTATTTTTCTTATGAATTTGTACTGACATATATATATATATTTATCATATGCATGTGCATATATATGTATATATATACACATGATATGCATGCACTCATGAAATACTAGACAAGAAACGAAAATTTGTTTTATCTTTGTGATGGATCTATAAAATGTGTTATAAATATATATATATATGTATGTATATGTGTGTGTGTATATGTTAAAGTAGTAAAATTGTGAAGTAAATCGTTATGTCCTTTTTCTTCGCATTTGCAAAACTCAAACGCATTGATTACTCATAATTTTGTAATTACGAGTAGACGTAACGGTCGATCGTGATGCCAATATATATATATATATATTGTATGTATATTTATTAAGATCATTTTGATATCATGATGATCCTTATTTTTTAAAAATAACACTTAATCGTAAATCAATGTCCAAGGAAAGATTAATTCCAATAGTACATGTATAAACGGCATTAGTTGTAAGTAGCTTATGTTAGGAAACAAGTGTAAATCGAACAATCTATTTGTTAAATAAAAGCACATTTTAATTATCCCAACAGATCGTCGGATGATTGTTTTGTTGTCGACAAAGGGCTACTGTGAAAAAAAAAAAAAAAAAAAAAAAAAAAAAAAAAAAAAAAAAAAAAAAAAAAAANAAAAAAAAAAGATTCCTACACCAACGAAGAAAAGAACATTCCAAATAAAAAGTACGGGCTTGCACACTTGAGAAGTGCGACGAACGAACAATATCTATGAAATTAAGCAGAAAAAAAAAAAAAAGGAACAACCGCGGCCTGCGCAGTGTATACAACAATAGACCGAAGAAATGAGAGAGGCCCCGCTAAAACGCGCGATGTTTATTACATACCGCGGCAGCGGCAGCTCTCTGTGCGACGATTTCCTCGGTACATTTGTGACATGTATAATATATGTATACAACACGCGTGGCGCGCGCTGTCACCTCATTACCTTGGACGTGCCCATATTCCGCCGCCGCTCTCTCATCATCGAAGCTCGCTCAGGCTATAGCCTCCCCCTACAACATATACACTCCAGTGGAGTGCACTTAACATATGTCAGCCGCGAGATAATTGGTCCATCGCCGTCTGTTGGTATACCTATAGGCGTATTACATTATGACAATGCCGCATGTACACTGCAGCGTTCGTCGCGTTTACCTATGCGTACGTACCTACTTACATGTGCATATAGGTAACAACTCTGGGTGTCACGCGTCGCGCAGCTCGCATATACTTTATATTATATATTAAGTATACTTGTACCTAAGTGCACACGCAGGCTTAATTTGCATCGCACGCACAAGAGAGTCCATATATAATATATGTAATGACTTGCACGGCGGCACATATATAAGCCTCGAATGCCGATCCGTTGTCGCTGTTGGTTTGATTTTATTCTGTTTTACATTGCCTTCGGTTCGATCGATTTGTCTTTCCCCCGAGCGCGATTCTCTCTTTTTGTCCATCGTGCGACCAATTAAAACGGACTTTGGAAACTCCACTGTTTGTGGATCTACCGATTCCACTTTTCCTACTCTCCGTTTGGTCCATTCCGCTATGATATTCTTAACCGATTTATCCACCACCCATGAGATACGTAGCATTGCAACGACATCAGGTACACTTGTGCTCTGGTCGAACGGGTGAGGAAAGAAACAAACACAAAACAATCCGGTATCCAATAAATTAAAACTGCGGTAGGCAAATCGGCTTTTCAAAATCGTCGCGTTGAATAATTTACCCATGAGATGCTTAAATGTAGTCACGCTTAGCGTCGTTACCACTATATATATATATATATATATACACATGTACCATGTAAGTATACGCGTTAGAAAGATCGAGCGCGCGTGATAAGACGACTTTTAGCCGATCGAGGGTCGAGCGTTGCAGGTGTTGGCTGGGAGGGAAAAGAAAATCGGTTCGAACTTGATGTAATATGCAAAGGCATGGCGGCACTTGCTTACAGTAACATTGCATTTGGATTTTCAGTGTGCCAACACCGTGTCTCGTTACCATTACCATGTTGAGTTTATTTTCGAGCGGTTCAACAAAGCGCGTTACAGGTTCAAAAGTGCCCAAATGGATTATTCGAGTCGCGAAGGTTTGCTGAAAAGAAAAGAAAAAAAAAAGAAAAAAATAATAATAATAAATAAATCTGCTGCCGCAATATTTAATTTTGTACCCCGTACGCGACTATCTATGATAATCTTGCGTGAAGTTTCTTCGAAACGCGATTGCCCAATACAGGAAGTTATTACAATAAATGTATGTGCCTAAAACACGGCGAGCGTTGCGTCGCGAGTGAGCGTAACGATCGCAGTATCGGTACATGTAATACGTGTATATAAAGGTGAATTACGAAAACAGCGCAGCATCCATCAATTGTGGAAAAATGATGAAATTCACGAAATCAAAGGGTATACGCAGAGTCGATCGGTGCCATGTATATATTTTATTTTTTTCATCACGTAAAAAATAAAGTAAAAATAATCGGCAAACACTGTAATAATGAAAATACACTTGGGCACAAAAGCCTCCGATCCGTGCGCGGATGAGCCAGTAGATACGGCCAGGTACGGGTGTCCACACATTCATATACGTGTATACACAGAGCAGTGATTACGGGGGCAAAAGCGAGCGAGCGCGTGCAGCTTCTCTCTCTCTCTCTCTCTCTCCAACGGATCTCCGATATATATCCCGATGCATGAATGGGGACCCACACTCTCTCTCTCTTTCGTATACATGTGTATATATTTATGTACCCGGTCGCTTGTGTGTATATGGCCCCCAAGAAAACGAGTCCTGGAAGCGGAAACGCTCTCCCGCGAGAGTAAGTCGCCCACACACTCCTTCTTGGCACATGGCAGAGGCAGCAATGGGTATATAATATATATATACTCTCCAACACTGCACACGTATCTATACGGAGAAACGATGAGACAGACGCGTATGTACTATCTCCACACACTCGCATACACATACGGGGAATAGTAGAGTATGGATACCTCCACCTTTTACGCTAGATTGGCCGTGTGTGTCTCTCTCTTCTTCTCTGCCATATATAATAACTCTCTCTCTCTCTCTCTACTCTCGAGGAGTAACAAGTATATGGTGTATACACCTATTTACGTGTGCCCATGCATACTGTATGATATATATACATATATATATTTAAGCGCGAGGTGAATCGGTTAAGTTGTGTGTCGTCGTGCGTGATGGTGGGAGGCGGGCGCGCGAGCGGGGCGTGATCGCGCGCGCGGCTAGGCCCTCGCGATCGAGAAAGAGAGAGGGCGAGAGAGCAACGAGCCAGTCGGGATGTCGGCCAGTTAGCGCGGAACCGTTGCCCCGACGACATCACGCACGTGTGCCTATACATTTATACAATCAACTACCAAAAAAAAAAAAAAAAAAAAAAAAACAACAACAACACCGAGTGACTCTGCCTCCCCATACGTACCTTATCAACATCATCACCGCCCGCCTCTCTCTCTCTCTCTCTCGGCTTGCGCCCTTACAACTCACCGTGCGTGCTTACCGATCTCCAGCAACATTCAACAGCATACGTACCCCTCGTTGTTCTCGTTTTGCCCGAACGTACATTAATCGCCCGGGTATCGTTTAAAAACCGCGGCGTATATACAGTTTGACGATTAAGTACGTGGCACGTGGCCCTGCCGGTTGTAATTCTAAACATTAGCCACGCGTGGAGCGAGCAATAAGGGTTCATTCAGAGATTGACGGTTTGACTATCGGTACAGTGTGCCGGTTGCAGTGCCAATAGTCATCGTCGTCGTCGTCGTCGTCGTCAAGGGGGATGGACGGCGGCGGCGAGAGGGACCATGCCGCTACGGAGCGCCGGTGTCCGGGACCAAGGCTCTGACTGTCCGTGTCGCTGTACAAGTAGAAGAGCCGGAGTGTCGGTAGGAGCTGAAACCAGTGGGTACTTGGTGCAAAGGTACTCCAAGATCGGGCATCGGAGGAGAATCAAGAGAGAATTATCGGCATCATCACCGGGGTTGGCGAAAGAAGCAGCAGTCTTAGCGCGCGCCAGGCACTGGCCGGGGCCGCGCTGGGAGCCGGTTGGATGCTCCGCTGGGCAAGGACGGTCCTCCAGCCACAACAACAACAACAACAACAACAAGAGCAGCCACTGCCAGGGTTATTGTCTTGCGGTAACAGCGGCGGCAGCAGCAGCAGCCTGTTGTTGGTGCCAGTGAGCGGTAGCCCCGAGCAGCGGCTGGCCCTCGAGGAGGAAGACGAGCAGCTGGCCACGTTCTACGGGGACGGGCATTGGGCCTACCACGGGGTAGAGGAGGACTCGCTGCCACTGTTCGCCGCTAGCTGCTGGGGCCGCATGGAGGCGAGCGTGTGCTGTCTGCCCCAACAGCAGGGGCAGCCACCGCCCGCGCCCCCGCCACCCCAAACGACCCTACCCCCTGCATCCTCCTCGTCCGCGTCGGTAGCTATTGCAGTGGCGCCTGGCCAGCAGCCGACGGCCGTCGCCCCGTCGTCTTCGTCGTCCTCGTCCTCGTCGTCCTCGTCGTCCTCGTCGTCCTCGTCGTCGCCGAGTGGTGCCGTGACGGGTGCGGGACTGCAGGCGCAGGTGATCAGCCAGCCGTACCACTACGTCGCCGACCAGATAGTCCCGGAGCGACTAGATCTCGTGCAGGGCCATGGACTGTCGGGACTACTGGCGAGCCAGGACAACACCCCGGTCCAACAGCAACAACTCTGGCAGACCGGACAGGCTCACGCAGCGCCCGCCTACATCGACTACTCCTGGCTGCAGATGCAGGTGTGTGTGTGTAACATTACTTATTATTACCTTTCATGCCTACATTTTGCACCCTGGATGTTATGTGGGCTCGTATCGACAATCGGGACTCTGGAAAGCTCAGCTTTCGAATTTTAAATCCTTTGCCGCCCGACGCGCCCATTGGCTCCTGGATGATGGAGGGGTGCACGTGGAACGTTATCTTTTGCGCTTTCAACGTGTTAAAACGTCCCAATGATTTTTAACGGTTAACCCAAACTGATACGAGGGGCAGGTATGAGTAAAAAAACAAACAATGACTCAATTACATCGCATCTGTTTGGCAGTGCTCCTCGGCGCCCCCAAAAATATCTGTATAAACATTTACGCGCTGTGTTCCCTTTTGCGAAATAATGAAACGATGCGTCACTATAGTAAATCACCGGGATCTGCGAGTAAGTATATGTACACAATTCGCGGATCACCTTCGCAGGCGTACCTACAATGGTATTATTATTGTCAAAGAGCCGCGGTATGTTATGTATAAAATGCTCAGAGCGAGCGCTGAAATCATCTAATTAGACGGAATTAACATCCCTGGAACGCCGAGAGAGTCGTGGGGGGTAGCCCCTCCGCGCGCTACTCGAATACATGTATATAAGGTACTCTCTGTCGCCACTTTTCTCGGAACACAATGGCGCGCTCCGCTTCGCAAAGGACACTTGTCCCTTTTTCTTTCTTCCATACGTACAAGATGTATACATGTATCTCTCTCTCTCTCTCTCTCTCGTTGCATTAATTGTAGGATACGCGTATTATGGTGAACCTTCGAGGCTCGACTTTGCGGTGACGCGTTTTGCATATACAATATTGGCGCTTCGCGGTCGCGCGCTCGCGAGAGAGACGCGAAATTAAGTGTAGCCTTTGTCGCCGAGACGAGAGATTACTTTGGGGGGTTGTGCTATATATGCACGATAGATAGATGCGTGTACAGGTATGTTACATGGTATCGCTACGCGATTCGAGATTCTTTGATGCCTGCAGTACGTGCATATAAATATATTTATGTGCGTGAGTGCGCGTTGCGTTGGGCATACGTAATCGCTCGGATCGAACTGTTGTCTGGTATGGGAGACTTATTTTTTTTTTTTTTTTCTTTTACTTTCCCGAACAACTTGAGTACTTTTTTTGCCCGTAAATTTTGGACATTTTATTGTTGATTAGGCTTGAAAATGACAGGTAGCTGTACAGGCACAAAAAGACACGAATTACCCTCGACGTGATATAAGGTACATATATATACTCTCGTATATATTCTACACAATATATTATATACATGACCCTCGTTTAAATTCAGGCGCAGTAGGCCTTCCGCGAGCTTTTGATGTACACTTATGAATGCACAAACTACACGTGTAACTTTCAAGCATACATGTGTATATTATTCACGTGTGTCCGATCGTGCGTGCATTACACGTGTTTTTTATTTAAATTTATAGATCCGCCACAAAATAAAAAGGTTTTCTTTTCATTATTGTTTATTTACACTGGGTGAATTAACAGTTGTAAAAGTAATTGCGCTCACGCGGGTCGTGGCTTTTCCTCGTTTGGGTACTTCTTGATGTTTATTCTCATCGAAATGGCATTTGTTTGTTTCCATTAGCAAAAGTTGCGATGAAAATAAAAGAAAAACATTTCTTTTAAAAATGAACCAATTTTGCAATCAACTTTTTTTCCATCGGTAAAGCACCGGGGGGGGGGGGGCTTTCAATTATCTCTCAAGCTTTAGGAGCAAAAAGATCCCACACCCCGTACTAGTCACCGAAACTGCTCGTGTACGTAATATATCATGTAAGCCAAAAGCTCTCGGATACTCGAGTATGCGCAAAGTAGTTGGAAATATCTTTGTTCCAAAGCACGAAAGAGCAATAATACACGGCAAACTAATTGTGTTCGAAGAAAAATAAACCCACATAGTCTCGGGTATGTAGTATAAACGCTTTTTCTAGTCCACGAGAAATAATAAGAAACCCTTACACCGTTAATAATTGCAAATTAAAAAATAGATTGGAGGACCACCCAATTACGTATTTTATACCTACCTGCAGATAATAAGGTTGACGATTACAACGAAGCTTCGCAAAGTTATATATGCATATAGGATACGTAACGTACAGTTGGGGGGTATATGGCGTACGAAAATGTGTGTCACATGATTTACGCCCCGTTCCCGTCGTATAACTCTTCACAATGAAGCAATTAAAGCGACGGAACGGATCAATTGTTCGCGGTGCATCGGTTCGTTGGAAGAAGAAGGAAAAAAACAACAACCACCTCGCTCTCTCCCGTATACACACCACAACCGATACTCGGAAAAAAAAAAAAAAAAACAATTTTAAATAATTATTTCACCTTTACCTGCACAACCGATTAATACATTATATACCCTAAAAAATGTACGTACAACTTTTTGATCGCGGTACGATACAACTTGAAATTCCTTCCCTCGCCGTAATCGCGTAATAATTCGAAAAGAAGAAAGAAAAACCCCCTCCGATTAATGCACATCCCTTAACAAGTGCACCGGAATGTCGACGACGACAATAAACGATCATGAGCGGACGACATAACAAATATTACCTCCGTGGGGCGTAATTAGTACACACTGCATGATTTGCATTGTCGGTGTGAACGTATCGGCCATCGGTGCGGCGCTATACGCACAGCTCTCTCGGGAACATCCTATACGAAGCAAAGGGAATCGCGCACCGACGGCACCGGCGCATTTGTTAATTTCCACAATGGATGTATATATATATAGGTGGCGTGGAGAATGACACGAGCTCTGTTACATTTGTACGTATACGCGTATAGGTACACATAAGTATACTCGTGAATCGGTATGCCGGAAACTCGCGATTATCGGTATCCGGAATATAAGCGCGCGGAGGGCAATGCATGTATATATATATAATAATACCCATGCACGCACTAACGACCCGCGCGAGCGCAATAGGTTTGACCATCACCGGACGACGAATCGTTTTTCCACGCTTCAGCTGCTTAGCTTTGGCTCGTGCGGACCGAAGCGCTACGTACGGTCTTCTTTTGTACTTATACAGTACGAGTATAAAATATGCACTTGCATCGCACGTAAAGGGTCGAAGGGACTCGGTGCGTGTACTTTTATGGGTTTTTCGGTGACGTGCGCCCCCCTCTACCGATCGGATCTACCGGGCTCGATTAAATTGACCGAGGGCTCAATTATAAACGGGTCGCATTAGGCGTAGGTGCGGGACGAATAAATTTTAGCGGGGCTGCTTCTTCTTGTTCGAGGGTGAGGTATATACGTGTATGTATGCATATATTTCACCTGTATTTTAATTATCCAAGTTTTCCATCATTTTCACGTAACCTGGAAAGTTCTTTGTTTGGCCTATACCGAAAAGCGTAATGCGCTACTTTAACTTTTTTCGAAGAATAACCAATCAGTTCAATAGCTATCCAAGAGTACATCGGATGCTTTTTTTTCCTCTCCTGATGGTTATTTATAGGATGAGGAAAAAACGATCGTGTACAAACTGAGAGACATTTGTGACATTTCTTTACTTTACCGATCCGATACCGATCTGTTGGTTACCAGCACCATTATCGAAAACTCATGTGGATTTTCATGTTTAATTCACACCAGACGTTATCGATGAACTCTGTAAATACAATTTTTCATGATTTTAAACACGAGGGTACATTTTTTTTTTTTTTTTTTTTTTTCAAAAGTGCCGAATCAATATTGAACTGATTGTAACTCTTCAACACCAACGATGAAGCCTATACTGATAAGACAAGTACAATAGATTCAATCCAACACGGAGATTAACATCAAGAATGAAAATTGAAATTTAAGGTTTGAACAGGTGCAGGTACGTTGTTAAAAGTAAACACAAGTCATAATTTTCCAAATCATAGGTGTATGTACAAGTTACAGTTACGAACAAAAAAACGTGCAAAGCTCTAAACTAAAGTATTAATTTTTTTTCTTCTTGTTTTTCAAATGTTATGATTAAAAACGATTACTTTTACATACCGTAGAGGAGGAAAATTCAATTCACCATAGTAAAACACCAGTGTTGTTGGGTTTCCTTTTTTTTTTTTTTTTTTAATCCAAAAATCTCCCGGCCCGACTCATTCGCAACGGTTAATAAACCAGGATTCCCATGCACACGCGCCAAACGGTCCATAACGGTCAATTAGAGGTGATCCCGTGGCGCTTTTACGCCTAGCATTAATTCGCGCATTAGCTCTGGTACATACACAGAGTGCAGAGGAATTTTTTTTTTTTTCAATCGCAAACACGCAACTCCCCGCACACACGTAAACGCGGAAAGGTCGTTTCGTCCCGTACACAGCTCATACTTATATATACCTGTGCGAAATCCTGGTGAGTTCAACGAACGATAAGCAAGGTTTCGTACCGCGCACACCACCCATACGTATACGGTGCTGTAAAGGGATATATATGTATATGTATATTACACACATAATGCAGGTATTAGACGGAATGTAAGGCACCATGCATGCAGCACTTGTGCGTTCATGTATTATATATACGCATACGTAAAATGCGAGAGAAATATATTACTATCTCAACTGCCGCGGTGCATGGGTTTCAGCTATTTTGACGGAGATACGACATTGTCTCGTAAATAATGCCCGCACGAACTGCCTCCGATGGTCGTAATTCTGGTATTTTGATTAAGAATTCACGCGTTACACAACACATAAAAACTTCGACTATCGCGCAGATCTCCGGGATACTCTTGTCCCGACTTTTCTCTCATGCCTATACGAATACAAGCAATATAATTGTGCGTGCCGTGCTTTATATACATACAACATGTGCGACGCCTGTGTATATGTACAATGTAATGTGGACTCTCGGGGGGTTGCGAGTGGATTACTTTTTGAGAAGAATTTCGCGGTGCGCGCGTGCGGCGAGCTTTCGACGGGGTAGATATATATATATATGATAATATATACTCACG